TCTTCACCATCATCATCTTCACCATCATCATCGTCACCATCATCATCTTCACCATCATCATCGTCACCATCATCATCTTCACCATCATCATCTTCACCATCATCATCGTCACCATCATCATCTTCACCATCATCATCTTCACCATCATCATCTTCACCATCATCATCGTCGTCGTCACCATTTTCTCACCATATGGTTTGGAAAGATGTGGAAGTCTTTTACCATTATCTGCTTCAGCATGGCTGTATCGCATATCATTAAAAAAGGCTGTCTGCCAAGGAACACCCTGATGATGATGATGATGATGATGACGACGGTGTTGATGATGATGAAGACGGTGTTGATGATGATGAAGACGATGATGAAGATTATGATAATGATAATAATGATAGTAACCCGTGTATTGGTCCGTATTTCTTTTTCATTTCTAGGTCGAACTTCATCACGCCCTACAAGTATTAACTATTGTTGCAGCAGTTATTTAATAAACACACACACACACACACACACACACACACAACATACACACACAACATACATACACATTCATACTCTCTCTCTCTCGCACAAACACATATTCAAACACACACACACACACGTACACACACACGCACATACACACATACATACACACACATACATACACACATACACAGACTCATACGTACACAAACAGACACACATACGCACACACACATACGTACACACACATACATACACACGTACACAAACAGACACACGTACACACACACGCACATACACACACACGCACACACACACATACGTACGTACCATTTTAAAAACTGTAGCGAAATTTCCCAAGCCAAACCACGGCCTAGGTCCTCTTATGCCCATCTTCGTAAATACGTCGAAGTTCCATGTACAGTACCTTTCAAAATAATAATTAAATAATAATAATTAAATAATAATTAAATAATAATTAAATAATAAAAATAATTAATTATAATCATAATTAGCATTACCATCCCAGCAAACATCATTATAATTATCACACAAGTATGTATAAGATTTGTCCTGTGTAAGATTTGGGTCAGTCTGCATTTAAACCTCGTCACAGCAACAAATCGAACCAGGTGGCTCTTAGCTTTCTCGCCAAAATTAATGAAATACGAACAATTAATTTTACAATTTAAATAGTTAATTTTACAATTTAAATAGTTAATTTTACAATACAAATAGTTAATTTTACAATTTAAATAGTTAATTTTACAATATAAATAGTTAATTTTACATATTAGTTATAATACAAATCGTCAATTTTACAATGCCAATAGTTAACTTTACAGTGCGAATAGTTAATTTTACGAAATAAGAACTAAGTAACAGACTTGTAGTAGATGAAAAGTAACACAGCAAGCACAGCCACAACGAACGGCCATTTCGAATTGGCAGTCGAAGAAGCTGTCAACTCAGCGTTTAAGTCGCTTGCAGTATTAACGTCAGCCATATTTATAATTATATTATATTACTATTATTATATTATAGCAGATTATAATTATTATTATTATAATATAAATAATATATATTCTCACGGATATTATATATATTCTAAATATAATAATGAAAAAGAATTAGTAATAAATCTATAAAAATCGGGTGAAATTAATTTAAATATACCAAAAACGGTTAAATAAAAACAATTTTAGTTTAAAAATAAATAATAAAATGAATTCAGCCAGCATTCTATTTATACACCAACAAGAATTGAACCTTACACCACTTATTAAAATATATATATGTGTGTATGTATACGTATATATACATATATATATATATATATATATATATATATCTGTGTGTGTGTGTGTGTGTGTGATTAAAATACCCTACTTACATTGCTAATTATGTTTAAGTATAACCATATATGCTAGCTAGACATTGAGTGAAGAAGTATGTTCACTGATGTTACTTGTTTAGGTGTGTGTGTAGAGAGGAGAGAGAGAGAGAAAGAGAGAGAAGAGAGAAAGAGAGATAAGAGAGAAAGAGAGAGAAGAGAGAAAGAGAGAGTAGCTATTGCGCAATCTTCATCCTAATTATTATCAGCCGTGTGCGTATTGCACAACAGTGTTCAGAGTTGTTAGTTAGTAGTGGGATTGTGCAAGAATGGTTTGGCGGTTTTTTTATCTTTATAAGTTTCTTTTAATCTTTTGTTTATTTAATTATTTTTTTTCGTTATACTGGAAATGATTTTGAGAGGTTGAAATACGGGTTGATGACGAAAAGCTGTCTGTTAAATTGGGAACACATTATTTCGCATGTGATGACTGACTGAATGAATGAATGAGTGAGTGAGTGAGTGAGTGAGTGAATGAATAAATGAATGAACGAACGAACGAACAAACAAACACCAGTTTAAATAAAATTTTATTCAAAATCAACAACCAAGTGTTAACTATTCGCTTGATGGGTATTAAAAAATGTTACTTTCCATCCAAAAGACGACACCGAACTGAAGTTGTTTTGAACTTCAAGGATATTGATACTAACAATAAAATGATGTTAAAATGATGACGAGAAAGATAACAGTGATATCTAAACAATGGTATCCAAAGGATGGTATCTAACAGATAGTATCTAAATGATGATATCAAAATGAGGATATTAAAATGATGATGTCCCTTATTAATGATGATATCTTCATCTCTTCTGGATTCTAATTTTAATCCCGTTTGGGTTTTTGATTGAAAATTTCTCGAACTTTGGAGGAACCTAGAGGAAAATTATTCACCTTACTCACCTTTCACCATCATCATCATTGTTTGTATCGTCATCATCAACATCGTCATAGCGGTTTCATGTCATATATGTCAGACATCTAATCATTTATTATCATCATTCATGTTAACAGCATGGCCACCATCATCTTCACCATCATCAAATCATTTTAAAAATTTTCTTCTCACATCCGTTTCCTCCGAAGCGACAAACCGGAAGTTCCGGATCATGTGAACGACGGCCATCTTGACCTCCATCTTGGCCAGCCTCATGCCCACACACTTCCTGGGACCCGCTCCGAAGGGCATGAAACGTAGGGGGTCGCTAGTTTTGGGGTCCCAGTTTGTTGGGGAGAACCTGAAGACGGTGGTATTGATGATGATGAAGGAAATGATGGTGAGGGAGATGATGATGATGGAGATGATGATGACGTCACCTTTCCGGATTGAAAAGATGAGGATCGTGCCAGTGTTCCGGGTCGTTCTGGAGGGCATAGATGGGAATACCTACTACCATTCCTGAGTGATGACGACGACGACGACGATGATTGCGAAACTTTTGTTATAATTGAATAATTAAATATAATTAAATCGTAATTAAATTTATATTGTACGTTAAACTTTAAAACATTCAGGGCAAGTTTTTTGAAAATCTCTGACACAAGTGACCTTTGGGGATGAATAATCCGTTTATGGTGACGTCCTGCAAGGCTTCTCTATCTGTTCTGTGATTGGTTGGTCGTTTTTGAGGGTGAAGGTTATTCATTCATTGGTTTAATTATTATTACAATTACGATTTTTCTATTTATTCGTCCGTAAGCTAATTCAATCTTCAATTCATTCGGTCGTTCAATGTTCATTTATTCATTTTTCCATATAATCACTCATTAATTAATTCATTTATTCATTCGTTCGTTTGTTCATTCGTTCATTCATTCATTCATTCACCTCGTCCCGAAGGGAAACATTCTTAAAGTCTCATTGAGACACATATCGAGGTAGGTTAGCTGCCTGATTGAATCGTATGTCGGCTCCTGACGAACGATAAAAATAATAATTATAAATCATAATTAATAATTATTATAATAATTATGTTAATAATTATAATTACTGATTCAAATTCGAACCTTATCACCGATATTCTCAGAGACCTCCTCGAATAATTTTTCTTGCGCTTCTGAGTTGCACGCCATGTTGTAGCCAAAGTAGGAGAGTGCAGTGGACGTTGTCTCGAAGCCAACCAGGAAGAACAACAGACACTGTGCCAGTAAATCTTCATCTGATAAACCTGTTACGACGATGACGTCATTGTTGGCGTGACGTCAGAGCAATGAATGTGTTGACGATCTATTTATTTATTCATTCATTTATTTATTTATTTACTAGTCTTTTCATCCTTAGCTGAGCTGAGCAAATCTTTCATTCATTCGTTCGTCCATTTCTTCAATCATTTCTTCATTCATTTTTTCACTCTCTCTTTCTTTCATTCAGTCATTCATTCACGAAGTAATCATGATGGGGATAAAGATGAGGGCGAAGATGAATGATGAGCAAATGACAAAATGGGTGAGTGATTGTGGGGCAGACAGACGTTTTTTAACGACGGGCGAGTTTTTCGGCTTCTGGGTGCTTTCTTTGCAACTGCCAGAAACGTCATCGTCGTCGTCTTCATCATCGTCGTCTTCGTCATCCCCATCTTCTTTGTGGGCATTCAGCATGAGTTGAAGGAAGTCCAAGTGTTTCTGCGGCGGAAGTTTTGTGGGACAGGATATGACGTCACAGCTTGTAATGGTGGCAGTCATCATCATCATCATCATCAGACTAATTGTCACTCACTCACTCACTCACTCTCACTCACTCACTCACTTTATCACCATCCTTGCTGACGTCATCATCTCTGTTCCTTATCGCTTTCTTAACGACTTCCGTGAAGAATTGCAAAACGTCATTTTTGGACAGAGGCACTCCGAGTCGATTCAGAGGTTTCAACAAAAATGGCGCTAAAACTTTTTCAGTGGTTATGATGACGATGTGATGGTGATGATGACGATGATGATGGTGATGATGATGATCGCGAGTTTAAGCGATGATAACTTCAAATAAACCGATAAAAGTTAAACAGATATTGATATTTGAAATAAAAGTTTTAAACTCAATACTCATCATCATCACGATCACACAAGCACACACACACACACACACACACACACACACACACAAACGAACACACGGTCTAACACATCAAAGCAATTCCAGGTGTCAACTTCAATTTGAAGACATCACGGGCCATCCTGACGAAAACATTGTTGGGGTCGTTATGGGAGTCTATGGAAACCCCGAAGGCAGTGCTCGCTATTGTATCCATGGTAAATGCGTCACATATGCTGATGAATGACGTCACGATGATGTCATGATGAAACGGTTGTTATGATGGTGTTGAAGGAATAGACGGAAAATTTTGATAATGATGGATGGAGAGAATGGTGATTTTTTTTGATGAATAAACGAATTGCGAATTGTGAATTGTGATACAATGATAAAATGTGATTATGAGGAAGATGATGGCTATGATGGAGACGTGGAATCGTCAAGCATCTTGATGATGAAGAAGATGAAGATGATGAAGATGAAACTGAAGTTGAATTTAAAGTTTAATCAAATAGACTCGTAAAAATTCCATACGTTTTCAAGTCAAAAACTCTCTTCTTATCGGCCTCCACTTTTAAATTTTCGCACAGAGTCCTACAGCACACGTTGATTTGATCAGACATCTGCAATTTAAACCTTCGCCATCATCATCATCATTATCACGTGATCATTATCATAACTTACATCACTTCTATTAAAACATAATTACGTCATCATCACAAACGTCACCATCAATTCAATCAATCAATTAATCAATCATTTAGTTCATAAAGCGCTATTTCCGCGATGCTCAACAGCGCTCCTCAATGAATTTCACAAACAGATGGGTCTTGAGATCCGCTCTGAACCTCGTAAGTGATGGAGAAGTAGTCAGAGAAGGAGGTAGAGAGTTCCAGAGAAAAGAACCAAAAAAAGCAAATGCAGATTTAGCAAAAGAGTGTTTCACACGAGTTAAGAAGAAGCGAGAACAAGAAGACGATAGGAAGAGGGGCTAGGGTAAGAAGAGTAAGAAAGAAAGAAAGAAGATTCACTAGAGAGAAGAATATGGTTATGTATTTTGAGTAAAGGAGTTTCAGTACTGTCATCATCAACATCATCGTCATCATCGTATCATCATCATCATCCGACATCATCATCATCATCAGCTACATCATCATTATCAAAACCCACCTTCCTCATTTTCCCGCTACTAAATGTAGGACTCATAATGCTCCTGACAAACTTCCAATGGTCATCTTTTAGGAGGGACAGCATTTTGTCTAGCGGGGGCGGAGTCACCCCCAAGTTCTGATAATGATTGCCGTGATGATGATGATTAACAATAACAACAACAATAATAATAATATTATTAATATTAATTAATATACTAATTATTATTATTAATTATTGGCGATATTAACGAAGTGATTGGTGAACAGATGAAAATCCTTTATCATGATCTGCTTCAAAATGGCCGTATCGTAAATCGTTAGGACGGGCTGTCTGCCTAAAAATTCTCTAAAAATAATAATAATAAACAACAATAATAATAATAAACAATAATAACAACAATAATAACAATAATATTAAAAAAACCCGTGAATCTGTCCATATTTCTTCTTCATCTCTAGGTCATATTTCGTTATACCCTTTGTAATTATTATTATTGTTATTATTATTAAAACTATTATTATGACGTCATCATCGTCGTCGTAGTCACTGTATGTCATAACAACGAAAAATGATGAAGAAACTCGGGTATTTTTTCAACGTAATGTTAAAGAAATGTATAAATATAACATGACATAATATAATATAACATAATATAATATCACAATAATATAATTAAATAATAATTATATTGTTAAAAAACGAAAAAAACAAAACAAACCAGAAACCATTTTATAAAGGCCGGCGAAATTCCCCAGGCACATTATCGGCTTCGGCCCGCGAATTCCCATCTTTGTGAACGTATCAAAAGTCCATGTAGCATATCTTTTGTAGTAATAATAATAATAATAATTATAATAATAATTATAATAATAATAAATAATGATGATGATAAAAATGATTACATATAGCAGGCGTGAGCGAAAAATGCCGTCAGACAGACATTACGACCCAAAAAAAAGGAGCCACAAATCTTAAAAAATTCTCCCCCGGGTCGAAAAAATTTGCTATATGCGGCCATTCAAAGGTAAAATAGTTTTCTCAGTGCGGCCCTCAAGGTTTGCCCACCTCTGAGATATAGGATAACATACGCATGGTGTAGTATGTTCGATTTATAGTACATTGTTATGGTACAAGGTTTATGGTACACTGACACAAATTTAATTTGTTGGTGATAGAATTGTGAAAAAAAACCCATTTAAAAAAATATGAAAAAAGTTACGAAAGAATACTTTGAAATACATACACCACACACACCACACAAACACACACAGGCATACACACACACACACAGGCATACACCCACAGACATACACACACACAGACAGACTAACTTGAAATAGATATAAAACAGTACGATGATACACATAATCAGTATCCTCCATTTTGATACCATTGAATAATAATTATAATTTTCCTCATTATCATCAGCAGCAGCTCCTTGATTCATTGACGGATCGATATTTAATTCACTATTAGACATTATTTTATTTTTATTTATTCATCAATTAATCTGGCTTTAAATGATTGGAAGTTTGAATTGGGTTGATATTTCGTCGTTTTATTCAACACTTATATACATGTAGAATACTTTTATTATTATTATTATTGTTTTGCAAAACCAAAGGTTATTAAAATCTGCGATTGCAGATATAATATTTTCACATACACACATACAGACACACTCACACGCACACGCACACACATACATACATACATACAAACACACACACACACATGCAAACACACATGCAAACACACATGCAATCACACACACACATAACTAGTCTGGCTCACACACATACATACAAACACACATGCAAACACACATACACGCACGCATAACTAGTCTGCTTTGACAATTAATAGCCCTCACTTAAGATTATGTTATCTGGTTTTTGAGAAATATTAAAAATCATCTTGAAACTTATGTTGTATGGGTTTGTCTGCTGCTTGTATTGTGTGCACTATTCAATTTCATTGAATCCCATTCTGTGTTTCGTTTAAGTTTCTGAGAACTTAAAATTAACTCGTCTTATTAAAAAAATTAAATTTATTTTTAATGTTTTAACTCGTTTATCCATTTAATTATCAATTAATCATCTTCTCAGATCAGAAAGTATTTTCTAAAAAACAATACCAAAAAAAGTTTGGCCTTTTTGGACTTTTTTTAACAACAACAACAACGACGATGATGATGACGTCATAATTTATATTTAAACAATAATAATAACAATTAATTAGTTAATAATTTAATAATAATAATATTAATAAATAATAATAATAATAAGATTTATCTCCTTTCAACTCTGATTTTTATTCCATTGATGTTCTTAATGGTGAATCTCTCGAACACTGGGGGTACCTATGAATTAATTAAAAATTATTTTTTTTAAATGACGCCACCATCATCTTCACCATCATCTTCACCATCATCTTCACCATCATCTTCACCATCATCTTCACCATCATCTACACTATCACTAAACCAACATCATCATCTTCATCATCATTTACATACACCATCACCAAACCAACATCATCATCATCTTCATCATCATTTCAACCTGATGTTAATCATTCCAGTCGTCAACCAATAAGACAGATATAGTAACATCATTAAAATAACTATTTAAAAAAATATGAACGACCATTAGAGTCTTCATCTTCCCCATCTTAATAAACACAAAAATCAATCCCTGCTAACATCAGTCTCTTCGGAAACGACAAACCGGAAGTTGCGGATCATGTGGATGACGGCCATCTTGACCTCCATCTTGGCCAGCCTCATGCCCACGCAGTTTCTTGGGCCGGCCCCGAAGGGCATGAAACGCAAGGGGTCGCTGGTACTTGGATTCCAATTTTCTGGAGAGAACCTGATGATGATGAGGGAGAAGAGAACGATTATGATGATGATGATAAGGATGATGATAAGGATGATGACGATGTTAATTACAATGACGTCACCTTTCAGGTTTGAAGACGTGAGGTTCCGGCCAAAATTCCGGATCGTTGTGTATGGCGTAGATTGGGATTAGTACAACCATGCCTGTTGTGATGATGATGACGATGAAGAAGAAGAAGAAGAAGATGATGGAGAAGAAGAAGAAGAAGAAGAAGAAGAAAAGATGATGGTGAAGAAGAAGATGATGATGAAGAAGAAGAAAAAGAAGAAGAAGATGATGAAGAAGAAGAAGAAAAAGAAGAAGAAGAAGAAGAAGAAGAAAAAGAAGAAGAAGAAGAAAAGATGATGGTGAAGAAGAAGATGATGATGAAGAAGAAAAAGAAAAGATGATGGTGAAGAAGAAGATGATGATGAAGAAGAAAAAGAAAAAGAAGTAGAAGAAAAAGAAGAGGAAGAAGAAGAAAAAGAAGAAGAAGAAGAAGAAGAGGAAAAAGAAGAAGAAGAAGAAGAAGAAAAAGAAAAAGATGATGATGATGAAGAAGAAGAAGAAGAAGAGGGTAATGATGATAACGATGATGAATAATAAAAATAATAAAAGTGACCTTTTGGAATAAGCACTCCATTTATCGTGACATCTTCTGTGGCCTGCCTGTCCGTTCTGTGATTGGTTGGGGAATAATTGAAGTTGAAGGACGTTACACTTCTTTATTAATTCATTAAATACTCAACCTTTCATTCTTTCCATCATTCATTCATTCATTCATTCATTCGTTCGTTCGTTCGTTCGTTCATTCATTCATTCATTCGTTCGTTCGTTCGTTCATTCATTCATTCATTCATTCATTCATTCATTCATTCACTCCAACCTGACACCAATCGGAAACATTCTCAGAGTTTCATTTAGGCACATATCAAGGAAAGAAAGTTGCAAGATTGAGTCGTATGTCGGCTCCTTCATTGATTGATCGATTGATCGATTGATTGATCGATTGTTCGATTGATTGATTGATTGATTGATTTTAATTGACTGATTGATTGATTTATCGATCGATTGATTGATTGCAGTAGCAGCAGCAGCAGCAGCAGCTGTAGAAGTAGCAGCAGCAGTAGCAGCAGCAGTAGCAGCAGCAGTAGCAGCAGCAGTAGAAGTAGCAGCAGCAGTAGCAGCATTACCAACAGTAGCTAGAGCACGAATAAATGTAAAACTCTAAAACTCAAATTTCACACTTTATCGCCAATCTTTTCCACAATCTCCTCATACAGTTTTTCCTGCTGGTCTGGATTACACGCCATATTGTAGCCGAAGTAAGATAGAGTCGTTGAAGTGGTTTCGAACCCGACTAAGAAGAAAAGCAGACACTGGGCAAGAATCTCTTCCTCCGATAAACCTATCCAGATAATGAAGTCATGTTTGAGACTAAGAGTATTAATCATTGGTGGCGATAGCCTAGTGGTTAGAGAAGCGTGCGTCTCTCTGCTGCGTGCTGTGGTGACTGGGTTCGAACGGAAAGATAGCCCAAGATGTGTTTGCCGATAGCATTTCTAATGTACCTAAAAGAGAGAGAAAGAAAAATAGAAAGAAAGAGAGAAAAAGAGAAAAAGAGAGAAAGAGAGAATGAATGACCTTTGACATTTGACATTATTTTCGCGACATTACAAAATCTTTGATGGCATTTTTACATTATAATTTAGTATAATTAATAAATATGCAGGAATAATGATAAAGATATTATTTTGCAATAATAATTATAATTATTAATATAATGAATATTTAACGATAGATTTCATGAGATAAGTTATACAATTGAAGGTAGAACCTTTCCTCGTGGCCGAAGTATTCGCGGGTTTTTGCGAGTTATTATTATTATTATTATTGTTGTTGTTGTTGTTGTTGTTGTTGTTGTTGATATTATTGATGTCATCGTCGTCGTCATCATCACCGTCTTCATCTCTGGCGTTTTCTTTGTGAGCGTTTAGTAGTATTTGCAGGAAATCCAAGTGTCTCTGGAGGTTAAGCAATCATCGTCATCATCTTCTTCATCATCACCATCACCATCATCGTCATCATTATCATCATCAATTTAACATTTACAGTTTATTGACGACACCCCATCCTAAATAACAATGATTCACTCAGAAAATAATCCCAATCATCATCACAATCATCGGCATCTTAACTGGATTACTCACTTTATCGTCCGCACTGTCTTTTTGGCTGATGGCCTTTTTAGCGACATCTGTGAAAAACTCTATAAAATCTCTCTCAAACATTGGGACGCCCAGACGCATTAGTGGTTTAACTAAGAATGGGGCCACCACTGGATGAATGAATGAATGAACGAACGAATGAATGAATGAATGAATGAACGAATGAATGAATGAATGAACAAACGAACGAACGAACAAACGAATGAACGAATGAATAATTGAACGAAAGAACAAACAAACAAAAAAATGAATAAAAGAATGAATGATCAAACTAACGCAACAAAATCCCCCCAAGAGTCATTTTAACTTTAAAAACTTTTCTAGCCATCAGGACAAAAATATTGTTTGGATCGTTATGGGAGTCGATGGATACACCGAAGGCAGTGCTGGCAATGGTATCCATTGTAAATGCGTCACATATACTGGAAGATTGAAATCATTCTTCTTATTATTATTTATTATTATTATAATTATTATTTCATATTATGTTATTATTTCAAAAGTGAATTCAAAAGTTAGACTGAAAAAAAAGAATGAAACACGGACATCTTGAAATCGAAAATCTTCTTGCTCTCAGCCTCCTTGCTCAAGTTCTCACACAGAGTCTGGCAGCATTTGTTGATCTGCCCAGACATCTTGAATCCAATCATAATAATAGTAATAATTATAATTATATTATTATAACTTATAATTTTTACCATAATTATCATTATATCTTCATAATCATCTATTTTTTATTTATCACGTGAATAAACTTGTCTCAAAAAAAAATCCTTATCATCAAGATCGTAACCGACCTTCCTCATCTTTCCGCTGCTGAAGGTCGGGCTGACCACACTCCTGACAAATTTCCAATGGTCATCTTTCAGGAGAGATAGGGCTTTGTCCATTGGAGGTGGAAGTAAGCCCATGTCCTGACGAGACGATACGATACGGTATTTTACTCGGTCGATCAATCAATCAATCAATCGATCAATCAATCAATCAATCAATCAATCAATCAATCAATCAATCAATCAATCAATCAATCAATCAATCAATCAATCAATCAATCAATCAATCAACCAACCAATCAATCAATCAATCTATCAATCAATCAGTTTATTAAAAAAAAGTGATTCTAATATAATAATAATAACAAATAATAACAAATAATAATAATAACAAAATAGCAAATATAAAAATAAAAAATATTTACGAAGTGATTAGGGAAATACTGGAAATCTTTAACCATGATCTGCTTCAAGATGGCTGTATCGTAAACCACCATGAATGGCTGTTTGCCGAAAAAAACCCTGAAGACGATGATGACGATGATGATGACGAAGATGATGACGATAGTGATGGTAGTATTAGTAATGATTACGACGACGATGATGATGATGATGGGTGAATTATTTCAAAGGGCATTGTAAAAATAGTTTACCCATATATTGATCCATATTTCTTCTTCATTTCGACATCGTATTTCAGCATGCCCTAAAAACATTGTGGGGTTTACATCATCATCATCATCATCATCATCATCATCATCATCATCATCATCATCATCATCATCATCATCATCATCTCGTCATCGTCATCATCCTCTCATCATCATCACCATCGTTCTCTCATCATCATCACCACCATCATCATCATCATCTTTATCATCATCATCACAGACCGTCCTATAGAGGCTCACAAAATTTCCCAAACCGGGCCATGGCTTAGGCCCTCTGATGCCTAGCTTCTTGAAAGTGTCGTGCGTCCAGGTGGCATATCTGTGGTGGAAGTTCAAAATTTTTCATCGTCATCATCATCGTAGTCTAGACAGTATCACATTATCATCATCATCATCATAGTCTAGACCTTCTTATCATTTTATATCATAAGCCAGACAAGCAAAACGTGATTTATAAGTCAAAAAAAAAACATAAAAAATTGTAAAAAAAAATAAAAAACATCAATAAATACTCTTAAAAACATCTAAAAAGCCACCAACTTGTAATAAACAAAGAGAAGGACCACAAAAAAGGTCGTAACGATCGAGCACTTGGATGTCAACCAACAGCCAACATCATCAGCGCTATTTCCATCAGACATGTCTGTAACAATAACTAACAAATTTTATGAAATATTATCTCGTTAAATATTGTTTGCCAAATACATTCTCAACAACGAGTTTAAATACACACACCTTGTTCTACCTATATATATACACACACAAACACACACACACATATATATACATATAAACATATGTATATAAACATATATACATAAGTATGTATATACAAGTGTTTTAAAATGTTCAATAATTCACCATTAGCAAAGTTAGGCACGGTTTTGTATACAGACATCTTACAGATTAAATTAATTTTCTCACCATATAAGGATTTGTTATATAGGTTGAATAAAATAATATCAATAGCAATAAGATAAATAAGGACAATAATAATAATAACAATAATAATAATAATAACCATGTGGTTGTTGTGCAATATGATGAAGTTAATCACATGATAAGTGGTCTTCAAACTGCTGAGACTAAATCGAGGTATGTATGCATGTATGTCTGTCTGCCTATGCCTATGTGTATGTATGCCTGATCTGAATGTTTATTCTTAAAAGAACGTTCCAGAATTGTTGTTTTTATTAATTTATTATTATTGTTGTTGTTGTGTTTATTGTTGTTACCATTGTTTTTGTTTATGTTTTTGTTATTTTTGCCTACAGCTGATGAGCAACAAGCTAGCTAGCAGCTGATGAATCAATGATATACGTGTTTATATGTATGTATGTATGTATGTATGTATGTATGTATGTATGTATGTGTGTATGTATGTGTGTATGTATGTATGTGTGTATGTATGTGTGTATGTATGTATGTGTGTATGTATGTGTGTATGTATGTATGTATGTATGTATGTATGTATGTATGTATGTATGTATGTATGTATGTATGTATGTATGTATGTATGTATGTATGTATGTATGTGTGTATGTATGTATGTATGTATGTATGTATGTATGTATGTATGTATGTATGTATGTATGTATGTATGTATGTATGTATGCATGTATGTATGTATGTATGTATGTATGTATGTGTGTGTGTATGTATGTATGTATGTATGTATGTATGTATGTATGTATGTATGTATGTATG